AAAAATATTAAAATTGAATGTATTTGCATTTAATTTGTGTTTGGTCTTTGCGTAACGATTAATATTCGCGTTAGATGTTCCATATATCGGTAGCATCCCGAATTTTTCCAGACCTAAATAATCCGCGAGGACTGCTCAGCTAAACACGGACTCCACGCGGACTCCACGCGGACTCAATCGATAGCCAATAATCATAGATCCTCGATCCTTAAATCCAATAGAAAACTCGGATTTTGTCACTCGCGAAGTATCTCGCGTCTTATTCGCGTTTCTTCTCGCATCCTTGTCGCACCCTCGTTGCATCCTTTTCTCTAATTGCTTTTAAAGGGCAAGCTCGAGCGAGCCTCGACTCGGCTTTATCTATTGTAACTCGATATGCAGATAAAAACTAAACCAAAATAATACCAATTTTCATGTCCGCCTGTCATCACTTTCTTATCGCGTATAAGATTTATGTCTTAATTTAGTTACTCGCACAAATTTATTTCGTATATTTCAGTTACTTACACACTCGTTTCTAACGGTGTAATTTTTAGAATTTTCTCTTTAAACTCGATTAAAGGTGCACTTTATATATTATTCATATATTACAATTAAAGCAATCAATGTCATCTGTATAAATATTTAGATATACATATATTATTTGGTTTTTCAGCTATAAAATATTGTTGTAATTAATGTACATTAATTCATTGATAATTTCGATTTGCATTTAGAAAAAAATATATTTAAAACATTTTAACTATATCTTCTAAAAAATTATTTGCAGATTTTAAAAACACATTTATTGTTCTATATAAATAATTCGCAAAAAATGTTATAAAAAGACCTAACACAATGCTTACTTAAATGAGAAATACGTTGTGTTACATTTTTAATCAATAAAAATTTTCATTGAGTCAGTTTAAGATAGTATGTTTTATATATACAATTAGTTAGCTTTCTTATACAGATTGCGATTGATCGACTTTTTGCAGAACGGAAATAAATAATAAGAAAAAGAGTTAAGCAGTTATGTATTAATATGAACGCTGTTGCAAATCTAAGGAGCAGCAATTGTGATAATAATTATTATATATAATATATAAAATATAATATTATATACAATAAAATTATTATATAATTTTCTCATTGTTATTTATTATTTTAACATCTCTGTGAATTCCAATTTTCCTTTATTAAAAAAAATGATCGTCGTGTACCTAATCTTTTGTTCAATAATATTCATATAAGTAGACATTACAATGAGAAAAAAAATTTTTATTTTAACTAAATACTTACATACTTATTTCGTACATGACGTAAAAATCGGTAGCTATATGAGTCAGATTACATTATTGAATGATATAATCAATCCCATACACAAATTATATAAAATTATATATAATATAAATTTCTCTCTTTCTCTTTCATATATATAAATTATATTATATTATAAATTTATATAATGCAACCCCCCCATGGGTACACCTTGACGCGGTGGGGTGGCTCAGTACTTGGATGGTGCCTTGAGGTTTATTTTAAATTTTTTTATTTAGAATAAATCTCAAGGAGCCTGAAGGGGAAGCTAAGTACCCAGCACAGCATTGCCACGAGTCACACAATAGCTCATATGTGGCATGCGTTGGACGCATTGCGTCGTCAACTTTCCGTCGTCGGTGCCGTCAACGTGTCGCGGACGGCGGCGTCTCGTTATCGCGTTTTCGCGTTTTCGCGTTTTCGCGTTTAGCTTTTTCGCGTCATCGCGTTTTCGCGCTTCCACGTTGGACTTTTCGTATAAAAATCCCAATTTTATTATTGTCACGAGTCTCTATTTCCGATGCCAATTAACTAAGATTTCGAAATAGTGCGGGAGTGCCGTTCAGTATCGCGCGTAAAAGTGCGAAAATAGCGATAAAAATATCGCTCGTGAGTGCGGGAGTGCCGTAAAGTATCGCGCGTCCAAGACTGAGAGGAGGAGGAGGCCTAGGAGAGGCATCGGCAGAGCAAGGGGTAAGTAATTTATTTATTTGTAAATGTATATTAAATATTAAATATATTTATTATAATTTAAATTAAACAATTAATCGCGTAATTTGATTCTTTATTTATATAATTTAAATAAGAGAGAATTTTGAAGAAAAAAATTTTTATATAAAATTTATAATCTTATAAAATTAGCTTTTATAAAGTATTAGAGAATTATTAGTAATGTCTTTTTCTAAAATGTATAGAATTATTTTATTAATCTGCTATTATTATATGTATCGAATGTAAAATTCAATACATGTAATAACTTTTGAAATATTAATTATTTGAATGTTATTACAATTTAAATCTTCTATTTGTTATAGACCAATCTAACAATCCTGATGATCTGAGAGGAGGCGCAGGCCTAGGAAAGGCATCTTGCATCGGCGGAACAACCTGATGGTGAGTACTATTTATATTATTTATTTATATTAATTATTATATCGCGTACACGTACTAATTTAAGTCATTTATTTGAATGAAACAAGAAAGATTCAAAGAAAAAAGATTGTATGTAAATAATCCTATAAAATTTTCTATTTAAAAAAATAGGTTTTTCAGAATTTAAAAAATTATTGCATATTTATTTATTTGTTTATTATTGCACATATCGGATATAAAATTCGATGCGTACAATAATAATTAAATATAATGAAAGATTAATTATTTTAAGAGCTGCTAATTATATGAATTTTATATTTGTATGTTATAGACAACATAGCTTCAATATTGATAATTCCGCTGCTGCGCATCAGTGTCGGTGAGTGAAAAACTTTTATTTAATTTTAAGGTAACGGATTTGTGTAGAGCTTGTAGATGTAGATTGTAGATTGTAGGTCCGTTACCTTATAATGGATGGACTAGAACAAATTAAATCATATAATTTTTTAAGTTCATATAAGTTTTTTTTTCAATATATATTAAAGCTTATTAAAAATGCAAAATTGAAATATTAATTAAAAGAAAATTTCATTTTTTTATTAATTTTACATTATAATCAATTATTTATTTTATTTAAAATAAATAATATACATAAATACAAAACATAAAGAACATACTAGTAATTTTATTTTTTAATACTATATAATAATTTTCTTCTATAATGCATACTGACATTATTTTAATTTTTTATAGTCCATCATTTTTATGTAGTGTAACATATTAAAAAACTTTGCTTTAATTGATATAAATCTAAGTAAGTTATCAATCTATTGACCTATATGTAATGTTTAAAAAGACCAATGAATGATACTATAGAGTGAAAATATAGTAGAAAATATATAAATAATGTGGAATTAATTTATTTTATCGTAAATTTTTATTCTAAATTTTTTATTATAAATAATATTATATATTGTAAAAATTGCAATCATTTAATTTTGATTAACTTGACACTATATAGCATTATATTAATTAAAGCAAAGTTATATTAAGACGATAACAAACGGTCATAATATTACTGTAAATGAGCGTAAAATTATGCTCATGTATCGGTGAAAATAAGTAGCCGGCAATGGAAGGAGTTTTTCTCCTTCATTGACCTATGATACAGGTCAAAGCTACTTTATCCTTGGCTAAAAATAGCCAAATGCCTGGATATTCGAAAAATAAGTTAATTTAAAAACGTGCAATGGCACGTAATAAACGCGTAAATTAAACGGATAAAATAAACGGGTACGCATAAAATAAATAATAACATATAAAAATAAACTCAAAAATTCGCGAAAAATAAAGAAACACTGCGTTCGTGTAATAAAATCCTAATTAGGGCATATTCCCCAAATCTAAAAAAATCGCATTTCCGCTGGTTTAATTTGCAGAGCAATTAGGGCTGTTAGGATCATTGAAACTATTAGGATCGTTAAAGTTGTTAGGATCTCTTAATAGGATTGTTAAGTAGGATCATTAAGGTTGTTATGATCGTTAGAATTGTTAAGATCACTAGGATTGTTAGGATCATCAAAATTGTTTAGGTTTAGGATGATTAGGATTGTTAGAGGATTGCTAGATATAATATTTTATATAGTAGGATTATCTATTTATTATAACTTTATTATATTATAATATGAACGCCGGCCATAATTACTGGTAGAGTCACTCATGTCGGACAGATCGAAGGCGAAGAGTCAGACTAAGAGAGATACCGTAGTTACAATTATTATATTAATATTTTTGAATGAGATGGAAGGAAAGGATGATCGAGAAAATAGAGAAAAGTGGCTTCAGTGATTTAAACATCTTTTACCAGAGCCGGATGCATTAAAGATGCGGAGGCTCTGGGGCAACAAAGAGGTGGAGATCCCTAACCATCTTTAACCAAAATCAAATAGAAATTTTTACGTTGTTTAAATAATTTATTGCGAAATAACAAGGTCAAGCAATATACATAGACCTTGTAAATGTTGTATACCATTCAATAAGAAATTTTACCCAAAAATTTGTGTTGTGGAGGCCCCTCTCTTGTGGAGGCCCATAGACTTCAGCCTCTGTTGCCCCCCCGCCCCCCTCTAAATCCTGTCGTTGATGATTTTTGTTATTATATCTTATTCTGTACATAGGAAAAATTATTAATATCACACAAATGTTCATCACATTGATAAACAAGACGTAACATAAATAATTTGCAGTTATTGCGGTCGAATACAAAGTAATAAAACATTCGTTGTTTCTTAAACTCAATTGCGTCGTTAATTTTTTCTTTCTAACATAATGGTTCAATTACGAGTAGTAATGTAAGTTGTTTCTAATACCTTCTTTTTTCTATTAAATTTTTCGTGTGTCGCAAGTCAGTAGAAAGAAATTCCTTACGATATATGTATTTTATGATATATTACTTGAATTATATTTAACTTGGTTAAAGTTGTTGGATAATGTTAAAAGTTTGAGCATTTTCTTGTGATAAATTATGATGAAAGATTGTAAGGAAGATGTTTGATAGAGATAAAACATCCACAAATTGAGCATTTCAAAATAAATCACTTATCGCTTACCTGTTCCACCCACAGATTTGTCGTCATGATTTGGTTTTTCAAATTCTGCAACAAAAATCGATTTCTCATTAAAAATGCAAATGATTTATTAGTTGCGATTTATGCATTACGTGAGTTGATTATCTATCAATAATTATATTACCTATTTTTATAGTTTATTCTAATTATTCTCAAATTAATCATGTATATTTGTTGCAATATTTTTGCGATTTATCCCACATATTACATCTTGCTTTAACCTTTTATTTACTTCGATCTTCCCATCGAATCACGTATCTAACTCTCAATAATGGTTCCTACGACGCTATTTGGCAAACGTTTGGTAATGGGACGCATTCTATAGAAAGCATGCAACATCCCTCACGTCTCCTTTTTGTGCCTGTCACCGACAGAGCATTGTAATTTCCGGATTCAACGTCGGCCTGCGACTAATTGGACCAACTAGCTGGTCGAGCGTATAGATGGAACTTGCAGTGGTAATCCCAGTTATGGACTACTGGTATGCGATTTTGGACTTTCTGCTATTTCGTGAATCTCCGACATTCACAATTCAAACTATTCCGCACGTGGAATCTATACACGCGACCGCTCATGTTTGCATGCACGCGGAAATCTAATTTCGACTGAATGCAAATGATGTGTGTCGGAGCTAGATTTACCTTCACATACTTACGTTATATTGATATAATCGTCGTTTAGCTTTGGATGATTAATTGTATAATTATATTATTGAGAGAGAAAGGGATATTATCTTAATATCAATTATTGTAATTAATTATTACAATTGTGACAATAGAATTAATTTAATAATATATTACTTTTAAAAATATTACAAAGCTTTTTATAGCTTTTTATAAGCTTTTATCAGCGATGCATTTTTGTAATATTTTTCTCGTCATCTTTATATTTCTGATATTTTCGATCTTAACGCGCAATAAAAATTCTTCTACGGTTCGTGAATATTATCATGTGTCAAAATAATAAATATGTACACTCATTATGTTGATGCTTCTGCTGCGACATCGGTGAAAAGATGTCCGACAAGATAATCGCACCGAGTGCCGGTATTGAATGGATATTCACTCTGTAGGGTGAATTATTCTCTCGCGATAGGAAGGCGAATTGCATTCACATGCAAATGTAATAATACCGATATAGCTTCGGTCTGTACGTTTCGCTGGATCGCAAATGTAAATGTAACGAAGGGTTGATGTACTACCACGGCGCTGTCAAGAAACGCCATCGTTAACGTTACTTCACTTGAAAAAAAGCTCCATTTAAGCCACTATTTGTATAATTATAATCATATCGTACAGAGACAATATTGAAAGAATTAATAAATGCGCGCAAAATAAAAAAAAACGGAATTAGAAAATGTGATGAAGCGCTTTTCTTGTAAATGGTTAAAATTATTTTCAACAATTCTTTAAAAAAAATGTATTACGTTTTATTCCGTGTTTGCTCCATAATTCAGAGTTTCATCTTGACTTTTCATTTTAGAAATGATGCCTCACCCAAAGAATGTTATCTTGTTAGGAAGGAAAACAATATTTGACTTTGACAAATATGTACATACATTGAATGTTCGCGAAATTGTGGAACTCGGCGGCAACGTGCATTATAGGAGTCGTTAATTAATTCAGGCTCATTCGATATACGTGCGTTATTCGTTTGAAATTACTGTCACATCGATTGTGGCTACGGGAAGTGGAAAACTCACATGTCGGTTTATACGATTGAATTTCCGCGCCGATGCGAAAACGACTGCATTCGTTGATGCGAATAATCAATTTTGACGCGGGGCGATATCGACTGTCTAAAACGGCAGCAATAATAATAATAGTAATAATCTCACATGTTATCTAATATGGTATACCAATAATTTAATAATAGCATCAATAACAAAACTAATATAAAACAATGTACATGTAATGTCTCTAAATCATACATATTGAAATCATTATTATTATGCGGTACTAATCACTGATAATACTAATAATATCTTTGTTATTTGGCTTATAACATTACCGTGAATAATTAATTAATAATGGCAATAATAACTAGCAGTGACTGTTTTATTATTATTATTGCAGTTAGGTCATTGCTCTAATCGATCATGAATGTAAAGAGAGAGACATGTCCAAATATAGAAAGACAATAACTCTCCCGACTATCAATTCGCAACGAATTGCGAGTGTAGAATAATGATAATTAGCAAATTACTATACATGTAATTAAACTCTGATTGCGTCGAGGCACAGACGCGCGAACATATACCTATCTACCTGTCCCTTCGACCATTAGTGCGAACGCGCAATATGTTAATTGATTTGAGCATACGTGACGGCTTCTAGGTACACAGGTGCGTATTAGTATCCCTCGAATGTGTGGTGTCCATGAGGCACGTAAATGGAAAATTCCTGTCGAGTTTCGCGCGTAGACGCAAGAGTATTCGCGCAGCAACCGTTCCTAATTAATTCCCGCGTTACACCTCATGTCGCATTGCGCTAGTGGTTCCGGGAAAGGATGGACTCTGCTTGCTTTAGTAATGATAATGGAGGTGATAATTATTGCATGGGATACATACCCGATCGCTATTTTCCAAAGGGAACATATTTAATGAGAGAGGAAAAACAAAAGCGCACGTTGTAGATAATAATTATGTTTATTATCACTTAATAGTGTTCCATTAATATTCATAATTTATTTAGATCTATAATATCGAGATCATATATATACATACACTAAGCTCATAGAAATTATATCTAAATATGCCAAAATCATTTGATTGATATTGGTCGATCTTATTAAATAAAATTAATCAAATAATATTAATTAATGATAAATAATAAATTAAATTATATACTATAATTTATATAATATATCCAATATAAATCTCCTGTCTGTATAGCTTACATTTGATATTACTGATAAATCGTATAATAAAATTTTATTTCAATAAAACTGGTTTCATTCTCTTCTGTTGTTTTGAGAATCCACTCGAGTGAAAATGTGCACCGCCTTATACTTTTACAGTCACTTTTCGCAATGACTATAATGTTACTGAACGTGATGCAGTTACGAGAAGCGCGACAGGAAAAGTAAGATAGTGAGTGGCAAGCGTTGTTAGGGCAGATCTAATTTGTATCGCTTTTCGAAAGTGTAACGTCAATTTAACATGATTTAGACTCGGTGATAGATAAGATTTACACCTACACGAACTTTCTATAAGACGATGTGGAAGAAAATAAGAGAGGCAGAACACAAGGTGTATAATATCAACTTTCAGTCAGTAAATAAGAAGATTGTTTGTGTGTGTTAGATATATTAATGTAAAAATATACTATAAAAATTGTATAAATTTAAATTTTAAATAAAGAATTTTGCAATTAAAAACAATACGTTTCAAGCAATATTTTTGCAGAAAAAAACTTTTTGCAATAACAATTTCAGGATTCAATCAGATTAAGGCTTTAAATGTAAATTTAGTTGATTAAAAACGAGGCAGAGAATATTTTATATGTAAAAAATTTGCATATATATTCATATATATGCAAAGAATTGGAAATTATATTTTTTTTCTATTTTGCTAGACGTAAAACATTAAGGAAAACTATTGGAGTTTAGTAGATTTCCACTTTACTTTACTATAGCGATTTATCGCATTACAATATTGCGCATAGTAAGATACTCGGAATAAATCGGTGACTGTAAGTTATATAAGTGGAAAATGTTATGAAGTTGACAACATGACGAAGAACAAAGGTAGCAATGCTCATGCTCTCGAGAATAATTTCTTCATTTCTGATGTCGTAAATCAAAATGACCGATTGGAGTAGGATTAAAGTGGCAAAAATAGATGTATGCTCGGGACGGCTGGCACCGTGGAGATGAATAATGTTCTGTTTTCCGGCGTTGAATATTTAAGATTGTTGAATATTCACGAAACGCGTGAAACGTTTTGACGTGACAACACAAATTTACGTGAAGCATAATTTTTTGCTTATAATGGAATATTTTAGACAAATAAGGATCCTAAATGGTTCAGAAAAATTTCTTATTCAAAGATCTTATAATCTAATTTTAAAAAATAGTACATTTAAATTTATATATTTTAATTAAATAAACCATCATTAACTAAATTTTTTTTATAAATATTTTTCTTGTTATATAGTTACAGTGCTATCAATGAATAGCTTTCTAATCTATTTTGGGAGATTTATCTCAATTTTTTTTACAGTTGAAAAATATCATATTATTTTTAAATATGTTTAAGCTTATCGAAAGAATCAGTTTTATACACATATAATGCATATTGAACGTGCATATCAACTTCTGCAACTGACATGAATTTAATATATGCTTCAAATGCATTAGGAGCATGTAATCATTTAAATGCCTTAAACCACAATAATTAAGAAATATTTTAACGATTGTTGAAACGCTGACAAAAAACTATACTTATTTCCGACGGATATGTTTCCACAAACCAATTTCTTTTCAGCTGAGCACCAGCTGTTGGAAATGCGAGATTTTCCACGTCATTTCCACGCAACGATAAAATATTTTGCATTACTGCGAAAAGAATGTTGCATTATCTGTAAAATAATTTTTGTTAAAAGAATTATATGTAAAGCGAAGTATAATAGTATTACTTCATTTATATTCTCGAGAGACTTTTAACATTATTTTTTTTGTCGGATACTTACATTGCTTAGCACTTATAAGATTTTCAGGGATTCTCTTTCTCTGGGAAAGACATTATTTAAATTCAAGTTAACATAACTGCATAGTGAGGTCAGCTAAAAAGGATTATTTCATTAGAAACTGGGCACGTTTAAAAGGAACTTTTGGGTCAAGGAGGAAAGCCCGTTTATTTAAAAGTTTCTGGTGGAAATAGCGCAGAAAATCCGCTCGTGTGAAAAGGAACGCTTGACGCTCTTAGACCTGTCGGGACTTTTCCGCGATTCTGAAACTGCTTCCAATTTTTAAACGCGATACTCGCACGGCGAGTAGAGTATGTCAAATTTTATACTGCAAATTTT